CTATTCTAATATTAAAATCAAAATGCAGACGCGTTGTCACTCCTGAGGACTAAGATAGAATGCCTCTACACTCACTCTCTCTGCACTCGCCATACGAAACACAGGCATCTATTTTAAACTAATATTCTATGAAAGCGTTGTGCTTTCTCGGTCGAACCGACCCATTCGTGTGACCTAACATATAGCTGCAGCATGGCTATACCACGTATACTTTGCGGTACCACATTATATTAAATTTGTTAAAATTAATTAGCTAACATCCGCCTAATTAAATAAAATGTTGTGATGTGTTACCTAGTTTCAAGAGCTCTTAAATAACTGGCAAATTGCTCAAAAAATGCACGTTCTACGTTTCACCCGACTAAGTACTCTTGAAGCATTAGAAATATAAGAAGTCTGGTTTTATTGACAAACGAGCACACAGTCCGCCTGATGGTAAGTGGATGCTGTGATTCATCGACATCTACATCTGTCTTCGGTTAAGAATCAAAATGCAGATGCGTCACCTCTGAGGCTGATGCCTCATTTCCAGTAGAAAGTGTATCCGGTTCTCTACACTCATCATACGAAATACAGCAGCACTAAGCTGCTTTTTTAGCGTGGTCGTTTCCCCGTCGAGCTGAGCATTCTTGTTTCAACCATAAAATAGTTGCAACATGGCTCCACCACATACCATTATTTTTATACATTAACATTTAACACGTAAATTATTTTTTGTAAAAAAAAAACTAGTATCTTGCCCAGACAAGGCACGAGTTAAGTTTCACCAGAGTAAGTACTCTTTTATGGATTTGTTCAGAAATTTCTCTACTATCCTGGCATAAAACAGTAGTCCCACTGTCGAAATCACACAGAATGGAGAGCAGCATCATAACTGTATGGGGCCTGGTATAGTTTTCGTCAATCTTCCGCCAGAGTGAGTGATGACGAAAACATAAATCTGTACCAAAAACGTTTTTTCCCAAGTGTCAAGCGTTTTGAAACTTCCAAACGCAACATAACCATTAGAACCGAATCAATAGTTGAACATTTGCACACAATAATTGTATTATTGTTTTCTATTTTATTCTAGTCTTTTTTTTTTTCAATTTTCAGTTAGTATCTACATCCCTGAAGTCAGAGTGTGTCCAAAAAGGCACATATGGCAACTCACAATGCTGTGTTAGTCCCTACTTTAATGTATGGTAGTGAAAGTTGGGTGTGGCAGAAGAAGCACGAGAGTAGAATAAATGCTGTAGAAATGCGGTCATTAAGGAGTATCTTAGGGATAAATCTGAACGACAGAGTGAGAAATTATGTGATAAGAGACGAGTGTGGTTAGCAAGATGATGTTGTGACCAGGTTAAGAAAGGAATGCTTCGGTGGTTTGGTCATGTAGAAAGAATGAATGAGGAAAGAGTGACAAAGCAAATTTATGTTGCAGAGGTGAACGGCAGAGTCGGGAAGGGCTGCCCTAGGCGAAAGTTTATCGACCAAATTGACGATATATTGAAAATGGGCCAAATCAAGAGTACCTTTAACCGACGAGCGTGTATGCGTAGGTATATAGATATGGAGGAAGCGAGAGAGGTGTGTCAGGATCGTACCAAATGGAGGTCCATAGTCTTTGCCTACCCCCCTGGGTGACAAGCGTGAGTGTTTATGTAATAGATACAACATGTTTGGCGACCGCTCGTGAGTTCTTATAAAGGCCACCGTCAGAATGTTAGCGCTGTGGTTATACACCACAATGCGGAGTCGGATGCCTATTTTTTGCTGCATTAATGATGATTTAATGTAATATATTTATACGTGGTAGAGCCATTATGCAGCTATATTACTGGTTTAGTCGTAGCACGAATGGTTCGGCTCGACCGGGGAAGGACCACGCTCTTACAGAATACCAGCGTAAAATAGCAGCTTAACGCTGTTGTGTTTCGTATCGTGAGTGTAGAGAACCGGAGACACTTTTTACTGGAAACGAGGCATTCCATCTTAGTTCTCACGGGTGACAACGCATTTGCATTTTGATTCGTCATCGATGATAGATGTAGATGTCTATGGGCCACAGCAACCACTTACTATCAGGTGGACTGTGTGCTCGTTTTTCACCCTTATCCTATAAAAATATATAGTGCAACTATTTATTATGTACCTTCAAATAAACATGTTTCTTTCTTTCTTGCAAAATAATAAAAAAGAGTACCGAAAATGTAAAAAATTAGCTTCGTTATCTATGGTAATTTTCAATAACACATTCCACCTTCCAATTCCCCTTTGTCGGGGTGTGTAGTTAAAGGAAATGACCACCCTCTGTCCTGGATAGTCGCGCGTGTCCGCTAAGCATACCCACGACACCTCTACAATTATTGAATTGATTACACTGCTTAAGGTAGACTAATAATTTAGTTGAGGTTAAAGACCGATGGTATTTCTAACGGTAGTTAAACCCTAATTAGTACATTATTCTACGTGACCTATGTCTAGTTAAATTGATTACCATAATAATCATAATAAGAACCGTGTAGTGTAGTGCAGGTATAAGATTATCCACTATCCCATTTCATCCCATGGGTGTAGTAAAAGGCGATAGAGGGAAATAAATCAGGAGCAAAATAAAATAAAAAATTATTGCCAACCCGTTTGGCAAACGTGACAACTATGGCAAATACCTCCCTATGAGGCAATCTATGGAGAGGTCTATGTTCAGCAGTGGACTTTAATAGGCCGCAACGGAACGGCTACGTGTAATTAACTAAGTGAACTCTGTTTCTAAGTGTTTATTGCCCCGAACTGCTTTATAGCTAATTTTCCCTATATATAAAGTCGAATTTAAACTCCATTCAAGTAAAATTAGCTTTTGTGCCTGGGAGTATTAAAACCGTGTCATCGTTCTCATGCACTACTTGATGACATTCATAATATCGTGACTTAACGAATCGGGGCATCAATACTATTTAGTTTTTGCTCCACTTTGTTGTTGCCTTTAACCTACACGCTAGACAATGAATGTTTATGTATCAACAGCGGCAGTTATTGATTACATGTAGTAAAATAAGACGTATAAATGTAAAAGAAATCTAAATAAATGTTATATTTTTATTTATTTATAGGTATTTTTTTTTGAATAAAGGTAACGAGCCAACCAGATGGTAAGTGGATGCTGTGGCCCATTGACATCTACATTAATACTGTCATCTGTAATCTATAATATCTGTAACCGATTTAGAATTAAAATGCATAATACAGCACGAAAATACGAAACACAGCAGCTTTATAATGCTATTTTACGCTGGTGTTCTGCTGGTATGGTGGTCCTACTCCGGTCAACCCATTCGTACTAAAACCATAATATAGTTGCAGCTTGACTCTACCACGTACAAAATTTAATTATGGTTTAAATGTTTTATAATTTAATTAAAATTTTGATTGCACATATAGTGTACAATTGGCGGCATTTAAGTATTATCTACTAGTCGACCACGAGCTAAGTAGAGAAACTTAAGCAGGTGCTATAAATAAATATAAAACATACATAGCATACATATAAATGCACTTATAAATATATTATATTACCACAAATTACCTAAACATTACACTCTTTACGTAATAAATAGCATACGCAATTTTTAAATAATGCTTAATACGCACATTTTAAGCATACTTAAATACGAATTTAATATATTTTAATTAGAAAGCATAATATCAACCCACACATCAGCAGAAATATTTTAGAAAGTTAACCACTGGAAGAAAAAAAGTGAAGATCAAACACCATTCTCATAAAGACAACTAAATAAGGCGTTTTTTTTTTACAAACATAGAAGTATTCTTATTTACATGCGCAGTCCCTTATATTTTTGGTAGATTATGAAACATTTTCCCATTAGTTATCATAAAACCTGAATCTGCTCACGATCTCAATCTTTCTATTGTGTTTTAACAGGTTTTAATATGTTGACTATATCTGACAGAAGAGTGATAAAATCTACCAAAACAACAAGGGAGCCGCGTGCAGTTTCAAATCAGACGATCTCTAATAGTGGCAAACGAGCACATAGTTCACCTTACCGTTACAGCCTGTTATAGGCCACATATATGGGATATTTGCCATAGTTGCCATGCTTGGCAAGCGTGTTGGCAAACGCAGTTTATTTTTAATTTTTAGTCGTTATTGGGTTAACGCTGCTGCCAATCCTCTGATTTGTTTCTCTCTGGCGCCTCTAACGACACCCACGGGATGATATGGAGTAGTGAATAATTCTTACAGAGCCGCAGCCGTCGCAGCATTGTGCCGCTTTGTCACGCTGTTATTCTGTGCGAGCATAGTCCTTCCTAGTTCGTGGCGACCTATTCGTTCTACACTAATAATACAAATAGCTCATTCAAGTTCTGTCTTTCTTTAAGACATCTACTACTTTTATATGCGTCATAGGTTGACTGGCAGAATATAATTAAGGAGAAATTTGAACATAACGAAGTTTTATTCAATAATTTCTAAATCATTTTCGATCGTATACGTAGTGAAACTTCGTTGGAACCATATCATGGTTGAGGCATGAATGGGTGGGCTCGACCGGAGAAATCCACACTCTCATAGAATACGAGCATGAAATAGCAGCTTAATATTACTGTGTTTCGTACGGTGACTGTAGAGAACAGGAGATCCGCTTTACTGGAAACGAGGCATTCCACCTTAGTCCTAAGAGGTCACAACGCATATTGATGTAGGTACAGCACAGCACTCACTTACCATCAGGTGGACTGTGCGCCCGTTTATCACACTTATTCTTAAAAAAAAGATAATTGTACATACCTAAATGATGATTTACATTAAGATATAAAATTGATTTTGTATCGAAAGATTGAAACCACTGACTTGCTCTGCGTGGCATTCAAATTAACAACAAAGTTATAAACCACTTGACGGTTCAGTGCGGTTGCAACCGCATCCTGACCGCAACAGTACATTGTTTTTGAGCTCTTACATAGAAAAAAAAAGTTATTTTGTGTTTTTACAGCGATTCAAGACAGTCGATGCTACCTGATGAACGGCGGGGCAGTCGAGAGCTTTTTCATAAGCGAAGACACGCCGGTTGGCAGTGTAATCGGTAAGTTGCACCTATGATCATTGAAGTAATATTTACTAAGTGCTAGAACAGACACCGCGAACAATATTTGTGATGACGAACCGCGTGGAAGGAGGCACTGCGTACATTTTTATGGTGCTAAGTAAGTTTGAGGATACCCGCAGTAGAACTAAAGTAACCGACATAGCCCAACGGATTAGTAAGTTAAAGTGGCAATGGGCCGGCCATATTGCTCGAAAAACCGACATCCGACGGGGAATAAATATCCTCGAGTGGTATAAATACTGCGGTTGTCAATCCCCCTCACAAGCAAGGAAACTATGTCAAAGTCAAGTCAAAGTACATGAAGTACTAGGTGTTCCCCGCGTTTTAGCCCGCGTGGAATTTATTACGATTGGATTTCATGAGTTTTAATTTTTTTTGCGCGGAACCCTAATTCTTTTTCTAAAATAAAAGTAGCCTAAGTTACTCCTTATAACATCAGCTATCTGCCAAAAAAAGTCCCGTCAAAATGGGTCTAGCCGTTTCGGCGATTAGCCGGAACAAACAGACAGACGTACAGACAGACAGACAGACAAAAATTTCATAAATTGTTTTTTTCTTATAAGTACCGTATACAATTTCATATGCATTTAGTAAAAAGTTGGTATTTTGACATTACAAACAGACACTTCAATTTTATTTATTTGTATAGATATAACGGTAAGGGTTCTCCGGCAGGTACGCTAAGCGTGAACGGCGACCCAAGCCCGACGGGCGACATCTCGCTATCGGTACAGGAGCGGGAGGCTGCGCTTCGCATCCCGGCTGGCAGCAAGAACCTCACGCTCGCACGCGCGCTGGACCGCGAGCAGCGCGCCGGCCCCGCCAGCCTTTACGTCAACGTGCGCTGCGACAGACGCGGCACCACTGATCCCGTATGTCATCGACTTAAGTACTACTTTTTTTATAACGTGTGTTTTTTTTAGAGGTATAGAACTTTAAGTTGGCAACACTTTTTTAACTGGCGGCCATTTTGTCAGCTGTCAAGTGATTTTTTAGTTTGGTTTGGCATTTCAACATGAATAGACTGACGCCTGAACAATGCTTCCAAATTGTGCAAATTTATTTTGAAAATCATGGTTCTGTTCGAAATACGTATCGCGCATTACGTCCATTTTACGGTCAACATAATCGTCCATCAGAGCAATTAATTCGATTAACTATGGGACGTTTTCGCGCCACGTTTACTCTAAATGATAATACGCATCCACAGAGATATCGTACTGTGCGTACAGAAGAAGTCATTGCTGCTGTAGAGCGTAGCGTAGAGGAAGACCCGAATCAGTCTATCCGCCATCGTGCACAGGAATTGGATATGTGTCCATCCACTTTATGGAAGATTTTGCGGAAAGATTTGGTTTGCGTGCTTACAAAATCCAACTCGTGCAAGAATTGAAGCCTCGCGATCACCTAGCAAGCCGTAGATTCGGTGAATGGGCCCAAAATAAGATTGCCGACGATCCCGATTTTCATAAGCGAATTTTGTTTAGCGATGAAGCTCACTTTTGGTTGAATGGATATGTCAATAAACAAAACTGCCGTATGTGGAGTGACGATAATCCTCAAGTGTATGTTGAGACACCGTTACATTCAGAAAACTGACTGTGTGGTGTGCTTTATGGGCTGGTGGAATAATTGGTCCGTACTTCTTTAAAAACGATGCTGGCCAGAACGTTACAGTCAATGGTGACCGCTATAGAGCGATGATTACTGACTTTTTCGTTCATCAATTGAACAACCATGATGTGCAGGAGTCATGGTTTCAACAAGACGGCGCAACATGTCACACAGCTCGTGATACAATTGATTTATTGAAAGAAACGTTTGGTAACCGCATAGTTTCACGTTTCGGACCCGTGAATGGGCCTCCAAGATCGTGCGATGTAACGCCGCTTGACTATTTTCTGTGGGGATATGTGAAGTCGCAAGTCTACGCCGATAAGCCCGAAACGATTGACCACTTGGAGGACAACATTCGGCGCGTTATTGCCGATACGGCCACAAATGTTGGAAAAAGTCATCGAAAATTGGACCTCCAGATTAGACTACGTCCGAGCCAGCCGTGGCGGTCGTATGCCAGAAGTCATATTTAAATTATAATGCCAGAAGATTGTCTTTCGAATAAAATAAATTTCATGCCAATAAAAAAAATCATGTTTGTTTTATTCCATTTCAAAGTTCTATACCTCTAAAAAAAACACCCTATAGAATAAGGGTGACAAACGAGCACACAGTCAATATGATGGCAAGTGGATGCTGTGGTCCATAGAAATCTACATTTATCCTCGATTACAAATCAAAATGCAGATGCGCTTTCAAACTTGAGGACAAAGATGGAGTGCCTCGTCTCCAGTAAAAAGGGTCACCGGTTCTCTACACTCACTAAACGAAACACTGCTGCATTAAGCTTCTCTAATCCGGCCAACCCGACGTACTGCAACTATAATATAGTTATATTATACATTGAGGCTCTACCACGTACATGCTAGCTACCTGACTGACTCGTTGGTGTAGTGTTCGTAAACGCAATTGCTAATAATGAGGTCCCGGGTTGGACCAAAATCTGTTGTGGAAATTCTCAATAGCTGCCCGGAGTTAGGAAATTGGCGGTGTTCTCCGTGCCTCAAAAATCACGTGAAGCCGTTGGTTATGATGATCTATCGATCTTCGTACACTCTTATCGGGCTACGAGAGTGAGGGAACAGAAAGTGTACCTGATAATCCTGCCCTGCGCATACAAAAGAAACCCTCCCCGTTGAGACTGGCTGCCGTGATCGAAATGATTATTGTTATTACATACTAAGACCGCGTTCCGACGACACGCACCCGCTACGCGCGCGCCACGCGCTTCAGCACCAGCGTCTAACTTGGTTTGAAATTTGTTGCATATAATTTGAGTCTTATGACAAATCAATAAATCTGAAATTGCATTTATTGACGTTCAACCGCACACGCTTCGCACACGTCACGCGCTCACCCCGCACACGCGCTGCACCCGCTCCGCTACGCCTTGTGGTCGCGCTTTTTATACAATTTGCGTGTTTTATTCAATGCGCGTGGCGTGCGCGTAGCGGGTGCGAGTCGTCGGAACACGGCCTAACAAAGGTTGCAACGATATTCATTTATGTAATATGAGAGACAAGCGAGCTGTCATTCGACAAGTTGCTAAGTGGCTACTGCAACCCATGGACACGTGTCAACATAATTTAAATTGAACATTTTAAAAATCCCCGAATAGAACCCTACCGCAGCTAACAAAACAGCTGTTGACCTTGAAACCGCTGAACCGATTTTGATAAAACATGTCTATGAACCACCACTAGAAAATCTGTTTTAAGTAAAAAAAAAAACCGCACTCAAACCAGAGAAGCTACTATATCGCAGACACACTCGTAGCGGTCAAACTTACAACACCCCTCTTTTTACGACAGGGCTTAAAAAAAGAGATGGTTTCTCACCCCTAAGGACTAATAGCATACATCTCACAACCTGGTATTATGCTGGCTCAAGGTCATTGTTAACAATAAATATTAAATAAAAAAATACCAATTAAAGATACTCGGGACTTAAATATCGAGTTATGTTCAAAATTGGTACCATGATTAGCGTCATCATTGCAGCGTGTCAAGAATCCACTGCTAAACTCTGGTAACTTTTGCCATAGTTAAAATGCTTGGTGCAAAAATTATAATTTAAACCGGGAGAGTTGGCAACCGCAAATGTTTGAATTTTTTTTATTGTTATTAACCATGGGATGATACTGGGTAGTGGTTTCTGCGATTCTACGATATTGAAAAATCGGCACCTAGATCTAATTTGGTTTTCTTAACGAAAAAAGAATCAGTCTGGACTTGACTTTCAACAAAGCAACAGAATAAATAATAGTACCTAAACCAACTCGTGTGCTGAATATCAAACACTAAAAACCATTTTGGTTTTGACCACGTTGTGTTCGTATCTATGTTACTATTTGCAAGCCTGCCTCCAATCCTTGTAGCAAGCGTTCATTTGTTAAAGCATCGTTTTTTATAGCATAAGGTTGACAAACGAGCACACAGTTTATCTGATGGTAAGTGGTTGCTGTGGCTGATAGACATCTACATCCATCTTCGATTAAGAATTAAAATGCTGATGCGCTCCCATCCCTGAGGACTAAGATGGAATGCTTCGTTTCCAGTGAAAGGGGTCTTCGGTTCTCTACATACAGCATTAAATTACTATTTTACACTGGTTTTCTGTGGGGACCTGGTCCATCCCCGATCGAGCGGACTTATTTGTGTTACAAGTATAATTCAAACTCAAACTCAAACTCAAACATTTTATTGCGTTCATGTGGTTATAAATAGTTCTTATGTTGGATATAATAGAGCCAAACATGAGCCCTGATAGCAACATTATATATTAATTTAATTTAATCGATTTATAAAGATTAATTACTTATTTTATTTACTTAAGCTAAACATTACTTTTAGGTTTAATAAACATTTGCTATAACTGTTAATACAAGGATAATAAAAACGTATATATACATATATTTAATTAAACAATTATTATTTTTCCCCGAAAAACTCTGACAACGAATAAAAACTTTTTTCAATTAAATGTTTTTTAAGCTCTCTTTGAAATTTATTTAATGATTCTTCTTTTTGTAGACATTTAGGGATTTTATTATAAATTTTTACACACATACCATAGGGTCCTGATTTCACTGTTTGTAATTTTGTGATAGGTGGAGCTAATTTATTATTAGGACGTAAAAAACAAGGACGGGAGTATATTGAAAAAAGGTGCATATTCTTTTTGACAAATGTGCATACTTCTAGAATATATATAGATGTAAGTGTTAATATTTTTAATGAAATGAAGTAAGCTTTACATCTGTCAGTGTTATCTATATTTGTAATTATACGGATACATTTTTTTTGTAGAATAAATAATTTATTTACGTCTGTGCTGTTTCCCCACAGTATAATGCCATACTTGAGCCATGCATGGGCATAAGCATAGTATGCACACGTAGCCGTTTTTGTATCTGTGACTTTTTTAAGTTCGTATAGAGCATACGAGAAACGGGAAAGTTTAGATGATACTTTCTTTATGTGTTCTTTCCAGTTTATACCCGAATCTATGTTTATACCTAATAGCGTATATGAATCAACACATTCTAATTTAGTATTGTTGTAAGAATAATTTATAGATAGGGGGTATTTTTGATACGGCTTAAATTGCATTATCTTAGTTTTTGTATAATTTATTACGAGATTGTGATTTATTAACCATTCAAAGATATCTGTTAGTACACTATCTAGACAGTTGTTAAGATTGTTGTTCATATTATTGTCGAATGGGATGACTACAGAAAGATCATCGGCGAACAAGGTACAGGGAGCTTTGATTATTTTTGGCAAATCATTTATATAAATCAAAAATAATAAACAACCGAGAACACTACCTTGTGGTATTGATTTAGTGACCGGTGCAAATTTAGATCTGACTTTAATCACATTTCCACTGGTTATGTCATGGTGTTCTATCTCTACACACTGCTTTCGATTGGTAAGGTATGACTCGAACCAGTTGTAGGGTGGGCCTCTTACTCCTATTCCGTGTAATTTCCGTAAAAGTATGTCAAATCGAACTCGATCATAAGCTTTGGTCATGTTCAGTAAAATACCAATCGCATATTTCTTTTTATTGAATATATTTAGTATATCATTGATATATTTGTATACTGCTATAGTTGTTGATCTGTTTTTGCGAAAGCCATATTGATTTTCATTTAATATATTGAACTTTTCGCAGTAACAGTACAGTCGATTAGACATAGCAGATTCAAATATTTTTGAAAACGTTGGAAGAATAGCAATCGGGCGAT